TTTTTTTTTTTTTTTCTCCCCCCAGTAGTGCCCAGCGGATCCCTACTTCTGTGTCGGCACACAGTGTAATTCCGCCTTCAGCTTCTTTTCAGGCTGGCATGGTATGCCCTTTATTTACATAACATCACTGGATTTAAAGAATTAAAAGAAATAGCCGGTGCGCTTATACTGCCGCTGTCTCCGCAGACAGAAGAACAAGCCTTACAGCGGGCTCTGGAGATGTCTTTGGCAGAATCCAGTCCCTCAGTTCAGCCAGCCCTAAGGTGAGTGAACATCATCAAAACCAAATAAAATCAAACACAAAAATAAACAGTGACATTAAGCCACCTTATCTTTGTAGTACATGTTTAAGTAAACAACTTAAGAACTGCCAAAAACAGGTAACCACATACGCCAAAAGCGACTGTTATAAAAACGAGTTGAACGTTACCTCTTAGATCTGATAATGAAAGCAACCATCTTCTCACCTGGGTTTTCATTTTGTCTTGTTGCCTCAGCCCTCAGGAGCAGGAGGATCTTGCTCTAGCCCAGGCTTTAGCCGTCAGTGAAGCAGAATACCGACGTCAGCAGCAGAGGCAACAGGTACCTGGAACATATAGCCGTCAATAGCATGCTAACAGGAACACACCTAGGTATTGATTTTTCCCAGTATTTCCATTTCTAATCTTCCATAACTGGCAGAGTTCCAGTGATAAGTATTGGAAATATTTGCATTTAATATGTGAAAATAATTGATGTGTTGGGTTTTTTTTCCTAATTTATAGGCAAGAGACTCCAAACAGTCCAACTGCAGCCTTTCTTAGTCTCCAATTAGGTTTTTTCTGTTTGTTTTGTTTTATGTCATTTAAAACATGAATATCCTGGAGATCAGTGAAGACGAGCCGTCTGAAGTTGGGACGTTACCACCTTCTACAACACAAGCACATGCTGTACTTTCCCAGCGAGATGTTATTTTTAACCGACGATTTGCTTTGTATATATTTTATATGCTGATCATAACAAATGCATTATATTAACACGTGATTGTTGAATAAATTATTTCCAAGGCGTAG